AAGAGGTTTCTTAAATCTAAATGGGTTGTGTTTTATTTTGTATTGTGGAGTTGTATTGTAACCTAGCTTGTCGCTAGTTATGTGCCACATGTTTGTTTTAGTGAGGAGTTTTGAGTTGTCGGGCTTGTTTTGCCATATTCGTTGTCTTTTAATTATACCCTGTTTTAGTCTTCTCTTTTGGTGAGCTTTGGACTGAGAAGGTACGTAAGAATGGTTTTCCTTCTCCGTAATTGAGTGCTGAGCACTCAGTAGTAGTTTGGGTATTGTAAGTGGTTGGGACCTAGCTAACGTCTTTGAGTTTGGAGAGTTGTTATTGTGGTAGTTGTTGTTTCCTATCTCATGGACCACATCGAGTGACGTGGGTCAAGGAGACATCCGTGAGGCTTTCTTGTTATTCTTGGGTTCCGGTGTATTTGGGACCCCGAGGTGTTGGGCCGGGACCCGAGAACTTATCTCCAAATGGATCTAAGCTTTGGTTAGCATTGTGTTTTCTTTTAAAGACTAAGTGGCTTTTTTGTTGAGACGTTTCAATAATTTCGGGTAATTTTCCTCAGTATGGGAGGTTGTAGTGGCCTGGGTCAATTTAGCCCGACCCATTTTCTTGTTTTGTTGGGACACAAGATTGTCCTGAGTGACGCGTTCCATGTCTGGATACTCTGGAGGTATGAATCTGAGCCTCCACATGTGTTGGATTGGACCAATTTACAAACAGATGAGGAGAGACTGACTAGAGTTTTAGATACTCGGGACCGAGTCTTGTGAGGCAAGACAATTCCTTTAGTAGAGGTGTTGTGGCTGCAACATGGTGTTGAGAAAGCAACGTGGGAAAGGGAGGCAAAAGTTCACTCCAATTATCCGGATTTATTTGAGAATGCTTAGTTCATTCCATATTGTAATTTTCCCTTATGTTTGAAAATGAATTGTTGAAAATTTTGACCATTTATTGTTACAAATGTTGTTGAACTCGTGCTTGTGATTATCATATTAGTGATTATTGAATTGTGGCCTTGGCCCATGGAAATATTTTGATAATGATAGTAAATGTTATTGAGATTGAGCACTCCATGCTATAATTGATTTGCCACTAATTTGGATTCATTTTATCATTAGTGTGGTTGTAACCACTCGGAGCCTTGTTGTTGTTTTGTTCTTGTTCTTTGGACATGTTGGTGAGATGTGTAACCAAATTTCAGGGGCCAAATTTCCTAAAGGGGGAGGGGAGAGATTGTGATGTCCTGGGTTTTGGGGCTTGAATAGTACTGTGCAGTTGAGTAGTATGCACTTCTTTCAGTGTTTTGTTCATCATTTTGAGTAATTGAAATTTATTTCTACTCTTACTTAACCTCTCTTAACTTTTTCGAGTTGCAAATTTTGCGTTTTGGACATTGGAACTTGCCTTGGTTTGCAAAAAGCATTTCGGAATTTCTGGGAAAAATTGCTAGAGCGGATTTTGGGCCCTGCTCGAGCGAACTTTGGTGGAATTTTCGGGGCAGCTCTTTGGAGTAATCCGCCCATGAGGCTGAAATTTCTGCTCATGCAGATTTGGAATTCCGCTTGTGCAGAATTCAAACCACTCGGGCAGATTTCGACGCGTCTGGCTCTATTTTCGTGCTATTTTGCTCAAAACTAATGCCAAAAGTGTTTTTGGCTCAGATTTTCGTTTCTCACTCTCTTTCTCTCTCTCTATATATATTTATATAAATATATATCCATCTATTCTCTCCCTTCTCTCTAAAACACACCAAATATCCAACTTCTATGTAAGATTTAGCTCAAATCTTCAAGAGTTTGAGAGGGGTTCTTACACCAAACCGAAGAGGGCGACGAAGGCTATGTTTATAAACGATTGGATCGTGTTTTTAGAATTTCATCATGTTTTAAGTTATGATTTTTGGTTGTTGAACCCTAGATGATGTTAGATCATGATTTTATCTATTTTTCCAAAACTTTTGAGAAAATGAACTACGTTCTAAGGTGTGGGTGTTATTTTTTGAAAAAAATCTTTTCAAAAATGAAACAAAGACTTTGTTTTGGTGAAAACCCTAGAATTTGTAAATTTTGGAAAAAATGTTGAGATATTGTAAAATTTATGCTTGATAAATTGTTATGTGAAGAAATAATGGAGAAATTTCTATGGTTGTATTAAATAAGAAATTTCATGGAAGAAATAAAAATCGTTGACTTTGAAGCTTATTGTTGATTTGTCTTGAAAAACCAATGTTTAGAAAATGAGGTTTAACATGTGGAGAATACATGTATGTTGATATTGTTATATTATCTCTTGGAAACATATATATTGATGTTATATCAATAGAGATATGGAATTTGATCACAATGGAGGATTGTGTGGATGAATTGAGAAATATCAAGGCATTGATATAGAAATGTATAGCATTGGCACATGATTTAAATATTACAACTTTTCGAAATGGCATTATTGAGATGTTTATATGGAACCTTGTTATTGAATTAGGCATTTGCATAGTCATTCCATTGTGTCCTTGATACAATTGATTTTCAACAATGCATTGGAAGATGTATTGTTTTGAGAAAGGAAATTATTTTGTGAAACATGATCATATTAATTTTTTTTGGGGTAAATATAGTGAAAAATCCTGTTAGGGGGTGTAGTTTGAGAATTAAGTTGGTATGAGTATCGTTGGTGTAAGACTAGAAACACGCGCGTGCAGGTGCCTAAGCCCTCCGGTTAGAAGCCGGTAAGGTAGGATTTGGTAGTGCTTGATAAGCCTACTTGCAGACACGAGTCCTGAGGATTTTCTTGAGTCGTATTTGCCACCTCTTGAGGTAATTCCGCCGAGTTAGAGGCGTGGAATATGTTTTGAGAGCACAAGGCTCTTTTTCTTGTTGTAATTATTTTTGACAAGCCAAGGGCTTTATATGTATGGGTTTGAAAACCATTTTTGTGTAACCGAGCTTAAGCCTTGGAATTTGTAGACCTTGAAGGCATTTATTTATATTTGACTTATTATGTCACATGCTATAGAATCTTATACTAGGGATATTGAATGTATATTTGCATGTGGACTATACTTTTGTAAATCTCTTGATGGATATGAATACAAATGTTAGAGCTTTGAGAATAATGTTAATATCGAAACTTTATTTCCGTTTACATTAAACAATGAAAGTTGATGGATTTAGATGGTGTAATTTTTGGGGGGTCGTGACAATTATTATTGTTATTATTACTATTATTTTCAATATCAATAACAAACAGTATCCATAAACTACACATGCCAAAATAAAACAATATAATGAAATAGAAGAAACTTTATTGTAAAATAATTACTTTAATTACTCTAATGTCTAGGAGGAGGAAGAATTTGCTTAATCATTTTCTTTAAATTTAAGAAAGATGAAGCCGATGAACTCATAATGGCCTCTTTAGCCATTTTCCTCCACTCCATGATTCTTTTCTTCATCTCCTTACCCTTGTCCCCAACCATCAACTCTCTCACAACCTTCACAATTTCATCTCTGTTAAATCCCCCATTGAGTGTAGCTATACCAATAGTTGTTTTTTTGAACTTCGAAACTTGGCAAACATATCATTGGCACTCTACTAGAAATGCTTTCAAGTGTGGAGTTCCACTCGCAGTGAGTTAAAACCCCTTCGATAGACAGGTGCGTGAGGACTTTCTCTTGAGGGCACCAACTTGTGAGTAAGCTTATTTCTTTTGTTTCTGTCATGAATTCTATTGGAATAACAACCAAGTTGCCAGCGACAAGATCAAGTCTTACTATCCATAGAAAGGTCTAATTGTTATTAGCAAGTCACCATGTAAACTCAATCAGTTGAATTTGTGTCATTACAGTTAAGCTTCCATAATTCGCACAAAGAACCGAGTTAGATTCTTTAGAGTTGAGCCATTCTAGGCACTCATGCATTTCTTTCCACAAGGAAACATGGATGAAAGTGTATACAAAACTCAATACTCCAATTCCTCAAATGTATTAATAATTCTGCCCTCTGGTTTGGAATTGCTAGGCAGCCATGGTTAGTTGGTGGGATCAGTCTTGGGTAATCCCGGGCTCAGTGGAGGGTTTGCTGAAATGGTGGGCTGTGGGCAAAGGGAAGTCTTGGATAACTCGAGCTTGGCAGGCTATCCCCTCTCTCGTGTTCTGGTCGGTTTGGAAATTAAGGAACGAATGTTTGTTTAAGGGTGTAGCACCAGACTTTGGAGGATTAAGCGAGAGAATGAAAGTTCAAATAGCAATGTGGGTAAAATGGTTTTTCAAGGTGGACTATTCAGTTCATGATCCGGTATCCAATTTGCACCAGATAAGACTGAATGCTGGAAGTATTCACAGGCAGTAAGTGGCAGCAGGCTGGGTTGCTCAGATTCAGGTTGCAGGGTGTGGGCAGCTTGTTCAGGTTGCACTGCCGTGAGCTGGAACTTCTTTCTGTGGCTGCTTAATCTTAGAGTGTGGTTCCAAGTTCGTTTCCCTTCTCTGTTTTGGTTCCTTACAGTAGTAAGGGGAGTTTGCATGCTGCTGATTGTCTTGCTACAGTTTTTTTGGTTTTCTCTTTGTGTTGGATTCTCTCCAACTGGAGCTTCGAGCTGAATGTAGCTCCGAGCTCCTCTTTATTGATGTTCCCTTTCATCTTTTGTATGATTCCATCAATAAAGATTCTTTTTGCTGATAAAAAAATAAAATAAAATAATTGTGGAATATTTGAGATTTGTCTCAGCTATATCCGATGTTAATTTAATCATAGTCACAAGGTTTAATGCAATGAATCTAGAGTAGGATATCCTTCAAGTGTATACCTTGCATACTAGGTATCAAATCTATATAGAGATGTTCATCTCCTTTTTAGTGATACACAATTGAATGATTAAAAATATGTTAGAAAAAAGATATTGGAATATACAAAAATTTGACAGCATATAGTTCATCTTGTTTTGTCTTATCCCAATAAGCTAAATAACATGTTGTGATATTTTTATTAATAATAATAATAATAATAATAATAATATCAATAACAAACAATATCCATAAATTACATATCCCAAAACAAAACAATTTGTTGAAATGGAATAGAAGACACTTTTTTGTAAAACAGTTACTTTAATTACCCTAATGTCTAGGAGGAGGAAGAACTTGCTTAATCATTTTCTCTAGATTTGAGAAAGATGAAGCTGATGAACTCACAATGGCCTCTTCAGCTATTTTTCTCCACTCCATGGTTCTTTTCTTCATCTTCTTACCATTGTCTTCGACCATCAACTCTCTCACAACTCTCTCAATTTCATCTCTATTAACATTACTGTTTATCTCTACACCAATCCCTAATTGAGTGCAGATATACCAACAGTTGGTTTGCTGATCTCCAAAACTTGGCCAACATATCATTGGCACTCCACTAGAAATGCTTTCAATAATGGAGTTCCACCCACAGTGAGTTAAAAACCCTCCAATTGACGGGTGTGAGAGGACTTGCTCTTGTGGGCACCAACTTGTGAGTAGGCTTCTTTCTTTGGTTTCTGCCACGAATTCTGGTGGAATAACAACCAAGTCGCCAGCAACAAGATCAGGCCTTACTATCCATAAAAAGGTCTGGTTGCTATTAGCAAGTCCCCACGCAAACTCAACCAGTTGATTTTGTGTCATTACAGTTAAGCTTCCATAATTCACATAAAGAACAGAGTTAGGTTCTTTAGAGTTGAGCCATTCTAGGCACTCAGGCATCTCTGTCCACAAATTTGATCCTATTGACTTCAAACTACGATCCTTGGTCTGATTCAGGAGTAAGTGTAAAGGTCCAATGGTGTAAATTGGAGGAAACATGGATGAAAGTTCATACAAAGCTTGATGCTCCAATTTCTCAAATGTATTAATAATGAGTGCGAAAGATTTGAGAGTTGTCTCAACTATCTCCGATGTAAATTTAATCATAAAGTCACATTGTTTAAAGCAATGAATAAATTGTGGAATATCCTTCAAGCGTATACCTTGCATACTTGGTATCCAATCTACAATCGTATCCAAATATTCATTTGTGATAAAACTCGGATCTGCAAATCACAGTAATAGTAATCTCAGTAGAAACCAATATTTCCCCGATTACCGCTTTTTCATCACAACAAATCATAATTGTTAAGTACTTATACAATAACCTGAGATCAGTGTCCAGAAAATAATTAATTGACAATTACATTGAATGATGTGTTAAGAAGATATATCAAGAAAATGATTGATTGATAATTAAATATTTTTTTAATTATCAACCAATCATCTTCTTAACGCATCACTGAATCTAAAAGTGGGTCTAAAAGGTAGATTTATATACCATTTTTCATATGAAAATAAGGTCATTCTAGCATACACATCCTAAAAAATGTGTGTGCTAAATACAAATTATGATATTTATGATGGTAATTGCCATAAATATCATAATTAAATCATTTTTCAATCATAATTAAAATATATATATATATATATAAAATAAGTCATAGTCAGACACTAATAAAGTACAAATAAATACATTTTCGGTTATAACTAAAATAATAATGTTCTGACCAAATAATAATATGTCATAACAAGAAAATCACAAACATTATAATTGAGATATATGACCGACACTCTAAAATGAAGGGTATATTCCTATGAGAATATACATGTGTATGTATATCTATACTATTATACATGTGAGCACATGAATTAGTGTTTAATAGTATGGTCACTTTTTCTTTTGTGACCTGACAAATTTTCCTATCATAAAATAAAAAAAAATATTTTTTAAAAGCGTGAAGTAAGATTTGAACCCAAAAATTTAAATTTCATTAAGAATACTCTTACTATTTAAACAACATACTTATTATAATATTAATTTTTTTATTATTTATTTTTATATTTATTTATCTGAATTGCACGCGAGTATAGATAGAAAAGCATGTACCTTTGACAGGTAAGAAACCCTTGTCGACAAGATTGCGGTATTGGAAGAAACCCATGAAGCCACAAGCACCGGCTGCCCAGAAAGAAACACGGGGGATGCCAAGTTCTTCTGCAGTTGCGAATGTGAAGCGCATGACCGCATCAGAGATTATGCAAGTGATCGGTGGGACGTTGGAAGTAGCAGTGTCACTGAGTTTGGAAAGAAGGTCTTTAAAAGGAGCTAACCAGTATTTGCTGTTGTCCGTTTCCGGAGGGCAGTCAGGTATAGTCTCAAAGCGGAAGGAGGGGAGGCCATCGAGGGAGTCGGGGCCTCTGGATTTGAGGACGCGGTTGTGGTTGGACTCTGTGTTAACAAAGGTTATGTGGAAGTCTCTGTTATGGAGGAGTTTGGCTAGTTTTAGCATGGGGTTGATGTGCCCTTGAGCTGGGAATGGTACACAAACTGCATGAGTCTTCTCTAACATTGATCTGGAACCCATTCTCTCTCTCTCTCTCTCTCTCTCTCTCTCTCTCTAGTGGGATTGATTTGTATGGCAACTTGGCAAGGGAATATGGAAATAGTTTTATAGCCCAGCAAATAGTTTTTTAGCGTTGTAAGGCCTAGTTTTAAACACTAAGGTTGAGAATTTTAGATGTTTTATCAATATTTTCATTAAGGAAAGTGATTGAGATTCCTCCAATTACTACCCCACACATACGTGGCGGGTGATGATTAGAGGAGAAGGAAAAAAAGAAAAAGAAAAAAAGAAAAACTGGCTAATCAAAGAAAGAGGAGGTCCAACTCATTTTCTTTTTATTAAATATTTTATGAGTGTGAAATTTATAAGACTTTAATATTGTAGGTCTCACATACTATATGGGTATGAGATTTATATGAAACTCATATAGCGTGGATCCCATATATCACATAGATATGAGAACACATGAGATTCATATGATGTGAATCTCATACTTATATAAAATATTTAGTAAAAATATTAATAAAATATTTAAATCTCTAACAAAATAAAAACTAACGAAGTCAATAAAAAAAATTAAAAAAAAAAAAAGTTAACAAATACCGTCCAGTTTTTAATTTGTTGTTGTTGTTGTTGTTTTTTTTATAATTATTTTAATCAATTTTTTTTAATTTTTAAATTCACAATTTTAATATATTTAAAAAGTAAAAGTTTTGTACAAAAAAATTCATTTTTATATAAAAAAATGTATTAAATTTTTGTATATTTTTTTATATTTGGTGAAATTTTTTAAAACAATTTCACAAATATTATACTTTTTAAATGTATTTAAATTAGGTGTATCTAAAAAATAAAAATAGAAATTGTGTGAAATATTTAAAAAAATACTAAATATAATAAAACTCAATTTTTTGAAAACTAAATTCAATTTTCTAACATTAAACATGGTGATTAATTTCTTTAATCTAATATTTTAATTAAAAAATTTTAAAAATACAAAAAAAAAAACGTGTTCCAAATAACCCTAAGTTGGAAGATTTAAGAAAGTATTTGGATTCCGATTCTCTACACCTTTCCTTCACCATCTTATGACGATTAATTATTAAATCAACAATGCTAGAGAGCCACAATTTTTATAGCCACAATGGCTCAAAATTGTCAAAACGACGTCGTTTTGGCATGTTTTGCACTCAAAATGACGTCGTTTTGATAATTTTGAGCCATTGTGGCCACAAAAATTGTAGCCCTCAAACATTTTTCTTATTAAATAATCTGAAAGCATTATAAGATATTTTTTAGCAGAGTTTCAAACTAATGAAGTAGCGAATTTCTTTTGATTCAGATATGTCGATTTAACTTTTTTAAGTAATAAAAAAGGCACAATTTAATTTACTTAGCATGTGTTATATTATCCGTCCCAAAATATTGATCTTTTTTAGAGAATTTAATTTTTTATATATAATTATTACATTTTAAAAATATTAACCTTTCAAAACTATGCTTTGACTTAAAATTAAAATAGTACAAATTTTGAGAAATATCAATTGTCATGATTATACTTTTGGTGTTATTAATGAATTTAAAAGAATGACAAAATAAGAAATTCATTTTATTTTAGTTCTTAATTTTTTAAAAAAAATTAATATTTTAGAATAATAAAAAATAAAATAAATAATTAATATTTTAGAACAAAAGAAATAATAATTTATTTTTAAAAATACTAGGTAATATTGTTAAATAATATTTTAAGAATATTTAATAATTTTTCCCACCTTATCCATGCATTATTGTCCTTCACGAGGGGGAGGGGGGTGTCACTGTCGGGCACAATAGTGACATGCATTACTGTCCTTCACGAGGGGGAGGAGGGGTCAGTGTGACAGTGACTGTTAGTGCGTTTTGTGGTGCTATGTTTTGAGTTTTATTTTGATAATTTAAATTATTTGATTTTTTATAAAATATTGAATTGAATATATTTGTTATAAATTAAATTAATTAGACATTGATAACAGTTTCATCAAATCATATTTGTTTTCAGTTTTATACTTATAACCATATTCACAATTAATTTTTTATCTATAAATGTGATTTGATACCGGTACTATTGATATTTAATTAATTTAATTTTTTACAAATATATTCTTGTGCGGGGAGCAAATATTCAGGCAAGCCCGCACTCCTTTCTTCCAAGTTCCTGTCTGTCCGATCGACCTGTGAGCACAACGGTGGTGAGCTACCCAGCGGTGTGTGGCCGGAAAACCCCTCCAACGATCAAGTTAGAACACACACACAGGGGATAGATATAGAGAAGGGAGAGTGTTGAGTGTTTGGTGTATGTCTCACCAAATGTTCATCTGCCCACGTATGGGGGGCGCAGACGTGCTTATATACCTTCTGCGCCCCAAATCTATTCCCAGTGACCTCTCAACATGTGACACTGCTATCCCATCTGTCAGCATAAACCTTGCTGAGCACCACCTAACCCAACTGCCTGCCCATTCTCCTGGGAGCTCGACAGCCGGGCAGTACCATCTCAGCCATCGTTTGCCATGCTGCGCGTCATGAACAAGTATTCTAACAGCTAAGCTCAGATGATGACCGGATTCGGTGGCATCTCGGCAAAGCCGAGATCGAGACAACTCACGTTTGTCTGCAGTCGACCTACCTGCAGAGCAAACAGGTACCTCGGTCCAACCTTGCCTTTCCTGGCGCTGGACTTTTCACCTGACCGGCTTCGTAACCACGGATCCTTGTAGCTCGGTCAATCCACGCGCTGCCTTAACCGAGCAGCTTCCTTCAAGGCCGGGCCACACAACTTGGCCCAACACCTGTTCAGCCTAAATCTGTCCAGCCCAATTCCATATCATTAATCTCCCTCTTAATTGCCCTTTAATTCCGTCCGCACAAGCGTGACTGGGATTACCTATCTGACCGGGGTAACTCTTCCTCGGTTCTTAGTCTGCAAGACGGTGACTGCACTAAGAAGGTGAGCAAGGTCCGCTCCACGATTTCCTTCTTGGCGAGCAAGATCAGCTCGGCAAGGAACTCCAAAGAAGGCGAGCAAAGTCCGCTCCGTGACTTTTTTCTTGGCGAACAACATCAGCTTGGCAAGGAACTCTAGAGAAGGAGAGCAAGGTCCGCTCCGCGACTTCCTTCTTGGCGAGCAAGACCAGCTCGGCAAGGATCCAAGGAAGGCAAGCAAGGTCCGCTCCGCGACTTCCTTCTTGGCGAGCAAGATCAGCTCGGCAAGGAACTCCAAAGAACGCGAGCAAGGTCCACTCCGCGACTTTCTTCTTGGCGAGCAAGATCAGCTCGGCAAGGAACTCCAAAGAACGCGAGCAAGGTCCGCTCCGCGACTTTCTTCTTGGCGAGCAACATCAGCTCGGCAAGGAACTCCAAAGAAGGCGAGCAAAGTTCACTCCGTGACTTTTTTCTTGGCGAACAACATCAGCTTGGCAAGGAACTCTAGAGAAGGCGAGCAAGGTCCGCTTCGCGACTTCCTTCTTGGCGAGCAAGATCAGCTCGGCAAGGAACTCCAAAGAAGGCGAGCAAGGTCCGCTCCGCGACTTTCATCTTGGCGAGCAAGATCAGCTCGGCCAAGGAACTCCAAAGAAGGCGAGCAAGGTCAGCTCCGCGACTTTCTTCTTGGCGAGCAAGATCAGCTTAGCAAGGAACTCCAAGAAAGGCGAGCAGGGTCCGCTCCGCGACTTCTTTCTTGGCGAGCAACATCAGCTCAGCAAGGAACTCCAGAGAAGGCGAGTAAGGTTCGCTCCGTGACTTCCATCTTGGCAAGCAAGATCAGCTCGGCAAGGAACTCCAAGGAAGGCAAGCAAGGTCTGCTCCGCCACTTCCTTCTTGGCAAGCAAGATCAGCTCGGCAAGGAACTCTAAAGAAGGCGAGCAAGGTCCGCTCCACGACTTCCTTCTTGACGAGCAAGATCAGCTCGGCAAGGAACTCCAAGGAAGGCGAGTAAGGTCCGCTCCGCGACTTCCTTCTTGGCGAGCAAGATCAGCTCGGCAAGGAACTCCAAAGAAGGCAAGCAAGGTCCGCTCCACAACTTCCTTCTTGGCGAGCAAGATCAGCTCGGCCAAGGAACTCCAAAGAAGGCGAGCAAGGTCCGCTCCGCGACTTCCTTCTTGGCGAGCAAGATCAGCTCAGCAAGGAACTCTGGTCTTTCCACCAAAATGATTGTCAATTATCCCTTTTCCTCGGCCTTCTGACTGACGACTTCCAAAACCAAACTCCCTAGATCTCTTCCACGGTTGTTCGTACCGCCATCCTCTGAGTTTTCCACCAGGATAGAGTATATCGGATAGAGCCTTGAGTTGAGCAAATCATCAACTCATTTGGCCGGAGTAAATCCTCTCGGCTGAATCTTCTGAGTTGAGCAAATCATCAACTTATTTGGCCGGAATAAATCATCTCGGCTGAATCTTCTGAGTTGAGCAAATCATCAACTCATTTGGCCGGAATAAATCATCTCGGCTGAAACTTCGGAGTTGAGCAAATCATCAACTCATTTGGCCGGAGTAAATCATCTCGGCTGAAACTTCGGAGTTGAGGAGATCATCAACTCATTTGGCCGGAGTAAATCATCTCGGCTGAAACTTTAGAGTTGAGCAGATCATCAACTCATTTGGCCAGAGTAAATCATCTCGGCTGAAATTTCGGAGTTGAGCAGATCATCAACTCATTTGGCCGGAGTAAATCATCTCGGCTGAATCTTCAGAGTTGAGCAAATCATCAACTCATCCAGCCGGAGTAAATCATCTCGGCTGAAACTTCAAAGTTGAGCAAACCATCAACTCATCTGGCCGGAGTAAATCATCTCGGCCTAAACTTTGGAGTTGAGCAAACCATCAACTCATCTGGCCGGAGGAAATCATCTCGGCCTAAACTTTGGAGTTGAGTAAATCATCAACTCATCCAGCCAGAGTAAATCATCTCGGCTGAAACTTCAAAGTTGAGCAAACCATCAACTCATCTGGCCGGAGTAAATCATTTCGGCTTAAACTTCAGAGTTGAGCAAACCATCAACTCATCTAGCCGGAGTAAATCATCTCGGCCTAAATAGAAAAGTT